TAGAATGCGTCAATTTGCATAAACTGCATGGGCCTAATTTTCGAAGTTGGGTGAAAACTCTCAAAATGTCGAAACTTAATCCATTTTCGAAGTTACCAAAAATTTGAAAGTTTAGGGGCATTTTTCGAAACTTCTTCACAAGTCATTGAATTGTCTAAATCATACACCAATTGTCGAAGTTGATTCAAACTTGGCAAATTGTCAAAAATTTAGGGTCCATATTCGAAACTTTTGAGTTTCTTCATCCCCGTTCTCGTGAATCAGACAATCGAAAGAAATATTTCTTCCTTCCCTTTTACAATGACGAAATCAATATCATCACCAGGTCTTCGTTTCGTTAATACAAGACATCGATTTTGATTTCTATCGTAACCCAAAACGAACATTTATCCTTCACATTCATAGCATTCAACTCGAATAACCGAAATCGATTCTAAATCAATCAATCATTCAAAATTGAATTCATCTGCAACACTGCATTCACTTCCTGTTCGTCATCCATCATCGTCCATCACAAATCGACTCCAAAGAACATCAATTACTTTTGACTATTAAGCTTTTACTTTCGTTCTTCATCCATCATCAACTTCTAGTGACCATAATTGTACGAATTCGACATCATGATGTCGATTCCTAAAATCACAAACTTCTGATTACAAACAAACCCATATAACAAAGAAAATCATCGATTCCATATACTTTGATTCGAACTCCTATTCCATCTGATTTTGACTTTTCCAATTATTCCTTTGACCATCGAGTCGAATTTCTTTCTGCACATATACTTCAATTCTCTTAATCACGAAACACCAAAATGAACTTGATTTCGACATTCCTAGTCCAAGTACAATGTGTATCTTCCAATTTCTTCTACCAATTCATTGAATCAATCCATAGAAATCGTGTTTGACTTTTTCTATGATTGACTTTTCGAAGTCAAACATCAATAAACATGAATTCGAAAATTCCAACACCAAGTTGTAGATTAATATATGTTTAATCAACTGTTCTAACCATGTTCTTCACAAAATTATGGAAGATCTTGATCAATTTCATCAAGCACAAAAAAATTAATCGAAAATTATTTGTTCATAATCGACTTTTGATATTGAAGACATCAAATCAAATCAATTCACAAGTTTAGAATCACAGATTATTGATCGATTAGTATGAAAGAAGAAGCGAAAAGAAAAAAATCAACTGATGAACTCGATCTTAAAGAAAGTCACGAAGGTACAAAACCTTTATGCATATTGAACATAACGAAGAACTGAGTGTAAGTCGGATTCAATGTTGATTAGTTATCGGGCTCACATCTTTAATCGAATGAATAGTAAAATAGAGTTTGGGCTTGATTTTGATTAATGAACAGTTACCGTATTGATTTGGACACAAAATTTGGAACAAATGAAAAGGATTAATGACTTATAGTGGGCTTCGGAAATTAAAGAATGGATGAACAGTGACTGAATCAACAATTAATATTTGATTTTGATTTTTATAATTTGATCTTAAAAACTTAATGTTGGATCATCAATGGGGTTTGAAACGGATTAGATCCAACGAAACAACCCAATCAAAATTCAAAAACATAACGCATGATTCAATGAAATTAAGAGAGATCATAGAGAGAGAGAGAGAGAGAAAAAGAGAGAGAGAGACTCACCAAAAATGCTCCAATTGTGAAAAATGTTGCCAAACCGAGAATCGTTCTTCAACAAATCTCTTTGATCATTGAAGACCCGCTCTGATACCAATTCTAGTGACATAAAGAACATGGTTTGGCATGCGAAATTAATGATTGCACAATAAACAAGGTGATTTTGGTGTTTAAGAGTTGTATTGAATATGTATGGTGTTACAAAAAGGGACATAGATATACATCTACATAAATAACACACACTTACACACTCACTTTTACACCTCTCAAGCACACCTCTACAAGTGGACTAAACCCACCTTATATAGAGGTGTTTACATGTCTCTCTCTCACTCTCTCTAACTCATGGTTCAAAAGGCTAATGCACCACATGCAAGTGGGTTTTACAAAAGCCAACACAATACAAAATCAAACATGAATAACTTTTCACCTCAACAGGTTTTTCTCCAATCAATCAATACATGTTCTCATAAGGTGTTAAACACCATACTCCTCATATGGATGAACAAAGTTGGGACTTTTGGGCTCTAGGGACCTCCCAATGTCTAGATCTGAGGTTTAAACCTTTAGATAACTTAGTATCCTCGAAGTCCCAAATAATATGTGATGGAAACCCTAACTTCTCAACCCATGAGATCCAACCAAATAAAGGGGAAAGATTCAAGCTTTTTACCTTCCTCTTGAAGCTCTGGACGAAAAGGCCTGAACCCCAACAGCTCCTTGCTTCTAGCTAAACAAACTCCTCTTCCTCCTCAAAGATGCACTAAAATCCTTTAAAGTTAGCTTGGAGACTCTCTTAGCTCACTACACTCATTTAGGTTTTCACACAAAAGGGGTAGGAACCTGGTGAGGCAGAAATAGGGGCATAAGTTCCCTTATATAGGCCCCAACCCCGAGAAATTAGGGTTTATTTGCCCAACACCTACTCAACGAGTTGGCTCTCTGCTCATCGAGTCCATTCATTAATCCCACGCGGACAACTCAACTCTACTCGACGAGTTGGAATCACAACTTGTCGAGTCACTCCATAAATCTCAAAATTAAACACACAATAATATACCTGAAAGTCTGGATGTTACAGAAACTTAGGGTTTTTTACGGAGAGCGGTGCCACGCTGTGGTACTCAAAACACTACCATGTCGTCGTAAGGTCAAAATCCACAATTTCACATTGAATTCATAAGAGGACTTTAAAGATTAATACATGAGAATCCAGATGTTACAACATCCTCACATTAGGATAAGTATGTGAAAACAACAAAATAAAGTCTTCATTTAATTTATATAGAAAATATGGAATCTCATGTTGCATACGTGCAATATTTGGCCAATTAATCTACTTGCATGATTCAGTAGGAGCTAATTTGCCTTCTAACATCATGTCGGCGTTATAGTTTCCATAAAGAATTAGGGGAAAAAACCTTTTGTTTGGTTTTTTCTTCCCCAAAGTTTGACTAATGAGAGTATATACTTGTTGACAATACCCATACAGAAAATGTGGACATTTGGCTCAATGAAAAGATACCACGTACACAAATCTACGACTTTGCCAAGTATGTTACATAACTTCTATATCAACACATGTCAAGTCATTACATAACTTCTATGTGGACACGTACATTATGAAGCGGTGTGAAGTTATTACATATACTTGTGTTGCATTTTTAAACACGGCCAAAGAAGGAAATGTGGACCATGATCTTCGCTCCTCTTATGAAGTGGATGGAGAATTACAAGATTCTTCATCTGGTAAGTGGTTTTGGTCTTTCTAATACTATGTTTCATTATTTAATAGAGTATATTTATTTGGTATTGTTTACTCGATTGAAATTGAATATATTTTAGGAAATGATGATGATTAGCCAATTGTGATCACTTATGTAGTTCTTGACTTAGTTAGGTTGTTGAAGTAGAATATATGTATGCTTGATTTATAGGTTTGCAAGATAATTTACGTTTCAAATTCGGAAATTCTTGATTTGGAAGGAAACTAATGATGATTATGGGGCAATCATTTGTGATCACATAAGTCGTTCTTGAATCACTTGGCGTTCTTAATTGAATTGTCAAATCCGATCGTTAATTTAGAAAGATATCTTCTTCAAATCATTAGTATGAATCTTAAATTCATGTGTCACCGATGATAAATACATGCGGTTTTCGCACCCGCTATCCTTAATTGAAGTAAGATGTAGTATAATTTTTGCCTTTTCAAGGAGGTACATTGTTTTCTCAAATATATCTAATACTAAAAGTATGATATAATAATAATAGTTTATAATAGCAATATGGCCATGTTTTGTTTTTTTTTTATTAGAGTTGTTCATTGTTTTCTCAAATATATCTAAAGTATGATATAATAATAATAGTCTATAATAGCAATATGGCCATGTTTTGTTTTTTTTTTTTATTAGAGTTGTTCATTGTTTTCTCAAATATATCTAAAGTATGATATAATAATAATAGTCTATAATAGCAATATGGCCATGTTTTGTTTATTTTTTTTATTAGAGTTATTATTATTATTATTATTATTATTATTATTATAATAAATTTTATATTGCAATTCTTGTGAAATTGAAGTTACTCTATTTTGAGTCCCCAAATATTTAATAAAATGTATATTTATGTAGCCAAGTTTCAATTTCTTTTTATCAAATTAGGCAACAAAACAGTTTTTTTAATAAAAACTATACAACTCATTTTTTAACCCATTTATATAACAAAATTGGTTTTTGACATGAATTATTCATCCAATTTTAAATTTGTTGGTAATCTTTCATCAACCCTGTGGGGATGGGGATGGTGATGGAGGTTCTCTAATTGGTAGAAAAGAACTCACAACCCCTTGAGGTTATCCTGTACTTGAAAAAAGAAGTAGAAAAAGAAATAAATATAATGATAATTTGATTCTTCGTCATCGTAGTAAATAGGAGAGAAAATAGAATTTATTTCTTCGTCTATAAAAAACAAAAAAATAGAAGGAAGCTGTAAAATATTCACTAAAAAAATCTGTTTGTAGCGAATAATTTATTCAAAATAATAAATAAGCTTAACACTCAAGCAGAAAAAGAAATAATAATAACCTGGTCCCGGACATGTTCCATTATACCCATAACGGTCGGTAAAAACTCGGTAACAACATAGAAGATTGTTTAAGAAATCGGTAGAAAATCAATTTCATTGCATAAATTAGTAAAAATACTAAACATGGTTGCATAAATATGCAATGACAAATTTATTTCAGAGGGTGCACTACACAACACCTTTCTTTTATCCTTTTTCACTGCTGATAAACTTATTCATTCATGTATTGCAGATAATTTTCTGGTTCTCTTCAATGGATGAGCTTTATAGTAAGCTAAAGCGACCTTTTAATGGTACTTGGGATTTTGTGGAGTCTGACGTGGGAGCCTTCGAGAACATACTGATCAGACTTCTCGTCAAAGACATATTAATCTTCAAATCCATCTCTAAACTCTGGTACGATGTCATGTCCACAAAGTATTTCGTCATTTTACACCGATTATTGTCCAAAGAAAACAGCAAATTTTTAGCCTTCTATGATCCCGGTTTTCTCGAAGATGGAATCGTTCGTGGAATCCATCTAATGGAATCCAACGGGACTTACACTGAATCATACACACTTCCTGGTTTTGAAAATGTACATCACCCGCTTTTAATCTCTTCCTTCAATGGTCTAATTTGTTGCATAAATGACGTGAGTCAATACCGGATGTTGTATGATATAGAGTTACGCATTTGCAACCCCGCCACTCGTGAAGTCGTGCTCCTCCCTAATAGCTACATATCTGTCTACATGCCTGTTTTCGGGGTTTTATATTCGAACAATTTCCATATTTATAAGATATTCAAGCTTTTTAGCGATCCGATTTATTTTGGAATGGGGTTTTCACAATGTGAAGTTTATTCTTCGGAAACGGGAGAATGGGAATTACTTGGAAGCATTCCTTCACATCCACTAATGAATCTTAGGCATACATTGGCCTCAAATCATGTTTGCATTAATGAAAAGTTATATTGGTTTATATCAGATGAAGAGGAGTTTGATATACCTTCTTCGATTCTTATGGTTGATATGGATTGTAATGTCAAGGAAATCCCGCTTCCAACCGAGGCAGAAATTTTATTCTTGATCGACTTCCATGATCGGCTTTGCTTAGTGGAATGGACATGTGGGATAATTGTTTTATGGCTTTATAATGAGGCGAGGGGAAGTTGGTATTCGAAGAAGGCACCCCCGTTTCCGGGTAATTGGTTGGAAGTTGCTCAGTTTGACTCGGTTGTTGCGCATAAATATGAGATATTGTTTGTTTATAGAGATGTTGCAGGGTTGCGACACGAGATTTTATATGATTTGGTTTGTGCGACGTGGGAAGAGTTTCATATAACTGAAGATGATAAAAAGACACCAATTGTCGTGTTTCCGTTCTTTGAAACTCTCGTGCCGTGTAGTAAGTATTGTTTATTTATTTATTTATTTTACTTGGGGTTAAATGGAAGAAATAGCAACGTAATTTCGTTTATTTTGTTTATTTTAACATCTTGCTTTCACTTCTTATTACAGTATTCCCCTTTGGAAAATCTACCCAATCATAACAATGTTACTCAAATAAAAAACCAACATTTATCGTTCCAATTGAGTTGATTTTTCGAAGTAAATAGAACTAAAGGTCGAAAGTTATTATTGGGTAGATTTCAAAGTATAATGTCTTAATAAGAAAAAGATTGAAAGTGCAATGATATAAAAGAAAGAAATGAAAGTAGGATGATAATAAAAACAAATAAATGGAAGTACATTGGTATTTCTTGCTTTTAATCCAATTTGTTTAATATAACATCATACTTTTGTTTCTTCCTATTACAACATTATTTTTGAATAATCTAGCTCATTACTCATATTTCATTCGAATACAAAGTAAGATGAAAGTATAATGTTGTATTATACAAGTAAATGATAATACAAAATTGTAATAGAAATATTAAAATGAAAACAGAATGCTATAATAAACAAATAAAAGGAAGAAGTTGCTATTTCGGCATTTATCCCCTTTGTCTATTATAACACCCTACTTTCATTTATTCATATTAAAACATTATACTTTGAAAAATCTTCCAAACTGTAGCAAAAGTCATTCAAATAGAAAGCAATTTCCACCGATATAGTTTTTAAAAATTTTCAAAGTATAATCTCTTAATAAGAATAATAATAAAAGAAAAACAACACTATAATTGGATAGATTTTCAAAGCCCAATGCCATAATAAGAAAAAGTTGGAAGTGAAAAGAAATGCAAGTTGAATGCTATAATACACAAACAAATGAAAGTGTAATGCAATTTCTTGCATTTAGCCTTTTTAGCAGAATCAACTAGAAAGTGTCCTAAACGGTCTATCTTTCAGTTACTCACCTTTTCGTTGTTACATTGACAGATAGCCACTGGCAATGAAGAGCAAAAAGGTAAATACTTCTTGTTACACATCATGGTAATGTTACTCTTTAATGAGCATAACAAATTACAAAAAAATAACTTAATTTTATAAGACTGTTTACAAAGACTTTCCTACCACATTGCTTTGTTAGACATGATATGAGTTTTCTTGGTTGCAGATCCTGCAAGAATGAAGGTTACTGGTGGCAGAGTGGCGGCAGTGGTGGTGGTTCTCTTAAAAAACTGTGTGTGAACTCTGTTTCTGTTGTTTGGCGTGTTTGAACTTTTTTTAACTGTGTGGTTTTTGAACTCCTCAACTGTGTGGTTTGTAAAGTTTGTGTGTTTGTTTGCTTTAAACTTGAAGATGATAACTTGTGGGTATTGAGTGGTTTTGGTGTCAGTTTTGCTTTTAAAGTGGTGTTGGCATGCTTAATTACTTAACTGTAGGAATGCACAAATTTGGGATCAAAGTCACACAAACTCTCATTTATTAATATGTTTTTAATTTTATAAGAACTCTTGTTTTTAAAAGGCTTATAAAAGTCTAATTATTATATAAAACTATTTTATAAAATCTCCATTTATTCACTTAAATATTTCAACCATATCAAATGACGTATTAACTTATAAGATTTTTGACGTAATCCTTTTTGCAACACGTTTCTAGTTTTTGTGACGTTTCTTTCATCGCCATCTTCAAGATAAATCTTTCAACTTGATATGGTGATGGCGATTTTTGTATTCTCATTGACAACTATATCTTCAATTTTTATCCTCATTTTTCGATCAATATTTTTTAAATAAAATCTTACAAAATACAATGAAATTGTTTGAAATTGACACATTATCATCTAAACAACAAGAAATTGAGCAATTTCCATGAATATTGGTTGGTCATTATTCATGAATGAGATGTTTGCATGTTTAGTTGCATAAGGCATAGTCATAACATATTTACACAATTATCTTATTTATTTATTTATTTATCTTTAGCTTCACTTATCAATTATTGATATCAACTTGCTCTCACTAGGGTATTAGCCCAAGACTTGATTTTATGACACGTATGCATTTGTCGAGATCAATTGTTCACTTTTGGGAATAATCACTTCAATGTCTTTATCTATTCGGTGATGTAACTTGTATGTAACAACTTAACACTAGATGACTTTTTAATGATGTTATTAGGAAATTTCCACGTGCTTCTTTTGTGATTATGAGGATAACATTTAAAGTTTTTGTTTGTTGATATCTTCCGTGCATTACAATTGGGAACCATCTGTGTAAATTTTGGAGGAAATGAAGAGGCATCGATTGTGGAATATTGCAAAGATGACAAAAATAAAAGAAAACAGGATTTATGTCATAAAACATTCTAGTTTAATAAGACCAAACAAGTTCTATTATCACATACGAAAACAAGAATGCAAAAATCATATTGTATATAAATAAATAAAGATTCAAGAAAAACACACTATTCATCATCTTTGTATGGATACTCCTCTGGAACTTGTTTAAGAAGCTTCACTTGTAACTCAAATGCATCATCTCCTCTAAGCATATCCCTAATCCATGTGATTTCAGTCTTCATTGACACCTAAACATGTGGGAAAATATTTTAAGTCAATTGCTTTAATCTGAATGTGAAAAGGGTATTTCAGGAATTTGGTTATTAGAACATAGTCACATACCATCTCTAGGGCTCCCCTGACAACTCCACTTAAGATGTTGCAGTAATATAAACCTTGACAATTATCTGGAAGCTCAACAAAGTCCACAAGTGGATTATCTTCCAAAATGAGACTGCAACAAGTTCCTTCATTATCCCAGTTTGTCACAGATGCAGTGACCCCTAAGAACATTTTGAAGCCAACCTGTTTGGAATCATAGAACAAGAACACAAAGAGTGTGTAAGAATGTTGATAGATCATCCATCATCAATGGCAACGAGAGAAGATTTTAAGTGTGTACCTTTGCTATGACTTCAGCTGTCTCCCTAAAATCAACACATCTTGTGACATTAGATTTTGCAAGAAACTCATCAATTAGCCTTATTCCGATATTGTAACCCCTGATCATAGAACAAAAGATCAATGAGTATAGCAGAAGAAGAATACAGAAGCTGCGTAGATGTATGAAGTTGAAAGTGAAAAGAATTTTATAGAAGAATATAGATACATTTGATCGAGCTGCTTATTGACCTCCTCAACCTCCTCCAGATCTGTAAGCAATTGTCGCACGATCGCTCCATATGTCAGAGTGAACAGCTCGGCGTTCTGCGAACGATCAACATCCAAAACCCACAAATTAAGATAAAAATTCTCGTAATTTCCAGATCGAAAAAAAAAAATCAGTTTCGGAACCAGAATCGTAACTTCATAGACAGAAAAATTACCACGCGCTCGACGTTGGCGAAAATAGCGTCACCGGATCTTGGAACGGCGGGAGCCATGGGAGGTATACGATTTGTTGGTTAGCTATTGAACACGGATAGCAGGTCACCCTATATTCAATCTTGGAGCCTATAATTATGAAGTTTAACATCTATAATTTCCCGATCGAACAAAAATGAGACCTAGTTTCGTATGAAATACTAAATTGGGTCATAAACTTACTACAGGAAATGCGAGCATGTACCTGGATTGGATAGCGCCGGAGATATTCAACTTCAACCACTTCCACCGCCGATCTCTGGTTGTGACGAATTGCTATTGCAGGACGAGAGAGCCAAAGAGGAAAGTCTCCGAGTAGGAGTTGAGTAATCACTGCAGTCGGACAAAAGCCAGATGAAAAGCGATACGACGTCGTTGAATTTTGATTTTTCTAACAGGTCCATATATTTGAACAAAATTTGGGCCGATGGCCCAATACCCATGATCGTTTTAACCCTTTTAGGCCAATTTAATTATAAAACAAAAAACTAGAGGCGATTAGGTGAATATGAATCGATACCATGGTTTTAAAGGCGTGCCACGGTGTGCATTAAGGTGTGACGTGACGTGTCAATGTGTGCCTTAACGCGTTATGGCGTAAGTTTTTGTTCAAGCGATTAGACTGGCTTGTAACATAGATAAAATTAAAAAAAAAAAAAAAAACATATCTGATATATAGATGTAGGAAAAACAACCAAACCCATAATAAAAAAGACTTCAAATCGAATCATATTGGATTGGGAAGTCTTTGGGAGGTCCAGAGCAAGTCCCAGCTAACAACAAATCGTTAGTTTGCACGCAATCCGAGCCTCGTAACAAATTAAGGTTTGTCTCTCAACAGTCGAATTTGTGGGTGATTGGTTTGTTCGTTGGATTTTCCAAAAAGTATGTATTGAAGGATTCTGCATCTTGAGTACCTTGGTTGACCAATATTTGTTTGGCAGCCATATGAATTATTTTGAAATTAATAAGTGATTTAGGTGATTTAAATGACTAATAAAAAAATTAAACTAAACTATTAAAATTACCAATTAAAAGTTACATTGAAGTAATAACATAAGTTACTTTCATTAACTATACTGTAGTTACTTTGAAATTATTAGATCATGTCAAATGAAAAATCTCGATGTATTGTCTACTCAAACTCAAGTGATGAGGGTTAAATATTACGTTATAATAATCAAATAGCATGCACATTATATACGAGTAGTCATACAATAAAGTATTCCTTTTGATATCTTTTATTGGCCTAGAGTTATTAAGTCCCTCAAGAGATCTCTATATGTGAAGTGCACAATTGACTTGATGACTTGCACTTACAGAAAAATTGAAAATTAGCTTTGGAAGGTATTATGGGAGTGGTCCACTGTATCTTTTGGAAATTTTGTAATGAGGTGGAGTTTGGAAATAATACTCCTCTTCGTGAGGTCCTTTTTCAAAGTATATTTATAGAAACAAGAAGGGTATAATCTTTTAGAGTCATTGGCTTCAAAACCCTCTTCTTTATCTTTGTAGTTGTTCTTTTTCTATCTTCTTGCTAGTTCTAATATTCGGTTGTTAAAAAAAAGAGCTCTATAACCAACTTGTAATCATGTAAGTCATACCATCCGAAAACGTGATGAAATTAAAAAATTTCATTAAATTTATGGGGGTGTAAGGGAGTTTTTTGGTATATAACTTTGAATAGTGTGTTATTAACTATCTATGTTTGGACCATTTCAAGTGGTATCACTCTATCATATATTTGCTTCATATGTTGTATATTATGTAGTAAAAATGAAATGGAGAAAAAAAAAAGAATCTTCTCGTTGAATTGAATTAACAGAAATGAATTACATCTCCTACCTTTTATATAATGATTTAACCTAACTAACTAACAACTAAGATGCTAACTAACATATTAGTAAAAAGTCTATTTACCCCTGAACGATTAATTTACACAACTAATAGTAACAACTTTTCTAACAACCTCTAATATTCCCCCTCAAGATATATTTGGAGAATATACAGATGCATGTTGGACATAAAAGGCTCAATCTTTGTAGCTGGAAAAGGCTTGGTGAACATATATGCAAATTAAAATACAGATCGAATGGGCATAAGTCTGACAGTGGGATCAAGCCCCTTTTCACTAACAAAATGGCAATCGATCTCGATATGTTTGGTTCGTTCGTGGACAGTACGATTTGTGTCGATTTTGATAACATCATCATTGTCACAAAACATTAATGCTGACACTTTATGAATGACATCAAAATCTTTGAAAACTTGTTTTAACCAAGTGGTCTCACAAGTTGTAGATGCCATTGCCTTGTATTCAACTTCAGTAGAGGATCGGGCAATAGTGGGCTACTTCTTTGATCTCCAAGACACCAATGAATCATCTAAGAATATGAAAAAGCTAGAAATGGAACGCCTTGTACCAAGACATCTGCCCCAATCAAAGTCACAAAATACTTGTAGTTGGAGATTAAACTTGCTTGAAAAGAATAGTCTTTAGCATGGACTTTGTTTTAAGTATCTTAACAAATGTTTTGTTGCCACCATATAAGGAGTACGAGGATTAGACATAAACTATGACAGTGGCTGAACAATAAAATCCATGTCAGGCCTATGTTAAGATTTAGGAGTCTATCAACTAAACATATGTATTTAGTTGGATCTTCCAGTAATTCACCAATAAAATCATTCAATACTTGTCTTGGATCCATAGGTGTGTTAACTGGTTTAGAAGCTAACAAACCAACATCATCAACTAATTGTAATGCAAACATTTCTTTGTGATAAGAAAATACCATGTAACATCCCAAAAATATGGACT